ATAGTCAATTGAAACACTATACCAAATCAAATACATTGAATCAAAATTCAAAATTTTGTGGCATTTTAATTTAAATTACCATTTTTATTCTTGAAATTTGAGAATTGAGAAAAGTCTACTAAACCTGTAAATTCTTAATCAACTACATTGAGAAAAGTCTACTAAATTTTTAATTATTCTTAATATGTCCAATAAATTACTCATATTTGAAAATGTCTCATATGGGAGAATTGCATTGCAATTCATAAATGTCAATTTTTTTAATTAAATAAATTTTTTAGTTAAATAATTGAAATATAGAAATCAAACTATTAAATTTTGAGAGGGTAACATGAACTTTATTTGCTGTTTGTAATTCCCTAAAGGGTTAAAGAGGGTGCAATTGGTCATAATAAAGGGATGGTCCCTTTCATCCCTTAGTTGGAAGACGCCTTCCCTTCAGCTTCAACCCATGTGAATAAAAGTAAAGCCCTCGCACTCACCCTCGCCCACAGGGCCACATCCTGCCTCGAGAATTTCATGGGGTTTTTAGGAGGGTCAGAAATGACAACGAAGTAGAGCAGGATCGAGAATGCTTTCACCATTCCCGATCGCGCAAGGAGTTTCGATTTCTATTCTCACGAGGAAAATTCTATGTTTATTTATTTTTAGTTTAGTAATTGTAGGGGGACGATTGAACCATCAATAATAAGTATGATGACAATGTTGGGTTTGTGAGGAGTGGAAACAAAGTTCCACATTGGCTATGGAATAGAATGATCCTGGATATATATATGAGAGAGGACAATTATCCCCATTGCTATGAGGCATTTTGGGTGAAACCAAAAGTAAAGCCGTGAGGGCTATATCCAAAGCGGACAACGAGAGATACTCGGTAATGTTGGAGTTGAAGTTATTTTTTATTTTTGTAGGTTGTGTATTTCTTTAAATAACTGAAGTTATTTTTTCATCCAAATAATCACATACNCATACCTAAAAAAGGGAAAAAAAAAAAAAAGCTGGATTCAGTAACAGTCTTAGAAAAAATATTTGTAAAAATAAAAACTAAAGTACTTGCGGAAACAAACGCATAACAAACCTTACAACTTCTTAAAAATTTTCGGTGGTTGTTTTTCAAATTGTTTCAAATTCAAATTTCAGTTATTTTTAACGTTCATATTTTGTTGCATGAAAAAATCGTTTCACAAGAAAACTTTTCGTACAATATAAAAAATAATATTTATCCTATTCTATAAAACAATCAATCAAAGGAGAGAAAAAAAAAAAGTCAAAATTTAGGTGTCATACTTATAAAGTAACATACATGTGACTCATTTAATGTGTGATACGCGTGTATCAATTTTATTCAAATTATCAACAAAATAAAATAATAGATTTTATACACAACTACCAAATTTTTGAAACTAATCCTAAAAGACAATTATATGATTTGTAAAATTGACCCTTTTAGAGGACTATAAATTATTGCTAATTTACAATAGATAATAAGTAGCTAGTTAAAATTATCAACAACAATCAGAAATAAGCATTATATAAATCAGACAAAGAATTAAAAATGACCCCAAAACTTCGTTATAGAAATTAAGAAAACCTTTGAAAGTGTTGAGTTGGTAAGAAGAGTATCCTAGCTTAGGGGAGAGAGTGATCCATAGTATATAAGAGAGCACAATTATTTCTATCGGTATGAGACATTTTGAGTGAAACCAAAAGTAAAGTTGTGAGGGCTATGCCGACAATATCATATCATTGTGGAGATATTTGAGGTATTTGGAGTACTGTTTGTTAAGGATCCCACATTGATAAGAAAATAAACCTAATAATGGTTTGTAATAGATATGAACTACTTCTCTCATTGTCAATTGATTTTTCGATGGAACTCTATGAATACTGATTTGGTATTAGAGCCCAAAACGCTCAAATGAGCATCCCATCCAAAAATGGGATCCGGACAAGATAGATGAACCAAAAGAGTTAGGACATATTAATGATCTCACATTGATAAGATAAGAAACCCAACAAGCAACTCACTTAAGGACAATATTTTACAAAAGTTTTAGACTTTAATTTCACAAGAATAACGTTGTAAATTTACAAGGGGACAACAATTTAAAATATTTATTTTTTTAGTAAGATATAAAAGGATGGAAATTTAGAATTCATAACTTTTTTATCATAAATACGCGTAAATTTTAAACAAAATTGAGTTCTTACAATTTTGTATTTAGCGAGTGGGTCCCATTAGGGTGGTCAAAATTTGACTTTTGGGACGTGGTTGAGAGAGGGGGTCATTCAACTACATTAATGTGTCTTGTATATGTATATAATTTCTGTAATTTCGTCACATTCAAAATACCAAGTTTGATTTTATCTAAGTATTTCCTTTCCTTCTTATCCACAATGATGTAGTAACAATTAATTTTTTTTCTTTTTAAAAACCTTTTCCTGTTTCTTCTTTTCCTTTCTTTTTCTGAAAGCAACTTATAGCCAAGCTCATCCATACTCATTGAATGAAAATAATCTTTGGAAGAAAAAAATAAGAAAATAAAATAAAATGTTGGAGTGTTCTTCCCAAGAAAACCCTTTGAATTCCTTTTTCAAAATCTTTTCTCCTTTTTTCTCCTTAAAAAATATATAACACGGCAATTGCCATATGAATAATTTTGAATGGATACTCGAAGCATCAATTATCAGTGGTTACGTAACCAAACTCAATACTTCTCCTTTTTTTTCCCTCAATAATTAGAATTTTACCTTCCATTTAAAATTGGTCTATTGTACCATTGGTTAACTATCCTCACAATATTATGCGCTCAAATAAGATATTAGACGAATTTTCTAAAACACGTGATTCTCAATCCGATAACTCAAGTAGGAAAGCCTACTTGCCACTAAGATGAGTAGCCTTACTTATCCATTCTCCTAGAGCAAAGACAATCCAATGAGATATCAGCTGACATTTGGTACAAGTACGGTCTCGATGTAACAAGATGACGAAGTATGGTTTCGCCAGTCAGAATATCTCTATCACACCAAACGTAAGTCTTGCGCAACGATAAAGCTCGAATCTTCCGTGAGACATTCTTCCAAAACGTTCCCCATAAACAGAGGAGTCAAATAATTTTCAAAAGTACCGCAAACATTTTGTATAATATACCTAATCTCTTATTAGCTTATCCAAAGTGGGTTCTAACTTAAACATCGAAGTACACTAAGTAGAGCATCGGTTTTGCAAATTGCACGTAGCATTCCATACCGCTCTCCGACAACCATGTCATCAGACGGAATTTCAACATCTAACAACTTTATGTGTTTGATGTTGTTTTATTATTATTATTATTATTATTATTATTATTATTATTATTTTGAGTAATTATCTGTCTGATGTTATGTTTTAAAAGTAAAACGCATGCACAGCATAGGATAAAATATATCTAGCTAGAATTTCAACTCTAACATCTCTCAACGGACCAATTGAATTGATGGATTTTTGTTGAAAAAAGGAGTGATTGGGCAAACAGGCAAGCTCTTATGTATATAAATATACACACACACACACACAAAAGTTTGCATAGTAGAGAGTTGGAATTGAAAATGTATATTTTTATACATTTTCATTGACCTTGAGGGAGAGAGGATAAGATTGATTGATTAAGTTTGCTATTATAATCATCTAAAACATTTAAGAGAATGAATATTGAAATTTTGGACGGTGCAACCAAATATTAGATGGATTTTTCATGAGACCTTGAATTTCGCTATTATAAAATCCTTTATTTTTTTTAGTACAATATGTGGGGGTGGGGAATCGAAACTCACGACCTCATAGTTGAAGATATATGTCAATTACCACTGAGCTATGCTCGCTTTGGCTATTATAAAATCCCTTTAAAAGTATATAGATAGTTCATAGTCCTATAAATACAATTTAAAACTCTTCTCCGTTTGGTGACTAGACTCGAGAGTTCAATTCAGGGATTTTCATGGGACTCTTGAATTTCATTACTATAAAATTTTCTAAACAAATATATGGTTTAGTACTATGAATCTGATGTGAAACTCTTATGCAATTGGCAACCATGACTTGAGAGTTTGAAAGGAATTTTCTTTTAATGGTATTTTAAAAGTTCTGTAATTGTATAAAAATGATTTTTTTTTTTTTGTAATTGTATCTTAAGAATTATATGATTAACCAAAAGATAATTTATTCAAAATCATTATTTTATGAGTAAATATTCTCATTAAAAAGCTAACATGAGCATAGTTTAACTGGTCTACTAATATCATGTTCAAATCTTCACCTTTACATGTTTTGAACTAAAAAAAATCTCATCGAGAAACAATCTTCCTAAGAAGACCATAAATTTAAAATTACTCTAAAACCAACTTATTTTTGGATTTTTTTTTAATAAATAGCATAACACCCCAGACATATCAAAATAGGGAGAGAAAAAGAAAAGAAAAAATAACCTAAGGAGGCCTACTTAGTATGTGATAATTAAATAGAATTTTTAAAAGTCAAATTACGTAGCTTTTTCAACTACAAATAATAATAATAAAAGAAAAAGAAAAGGAAAGTTCAATAATAATAATAAAAGAAAAAGAAAAGGAAAGTTCAATAAATAGAATAGAGCGTATTATTATTTTATCTTATTATTATCTTTTTTTTTTTTTTTGAAAGAGGAAAATAGCCTTATTTCAATTTATGTTATTTCGGAGTGCCCGAAATGAAATGAAATGAAAGGAAAGGAAAGGAAAGGAAAGAAAAGAAAAGAAAAGTTATGGCCACATTTTTATTAGATTTCGAACACTTACAAAATTGTTTTAGTTTTAAGAGTTCAAAATTAGGTCATTCAATTTCAGTCTTCTAAGCTACCTCTATATGGCCACATTTTGATTAGATTAGTTGAATTGTGATATTGCTTTTGTTTGTACGTCTTCATTTCCCATAGAGAAGATAACAAGCAAGATTTTGCACATTTGTTTGTTTCTTTCAGCCCAAAAGAAAGGTTCAACATATTGATTTCGAGCCCAACTCAATAACACATACATAAAAAACCCAATTAAAAGAATGTCTAATAAATCATTTATGAGGAAAAAAAAAGTGTTCAGGAGTGGTTAATTTCACCAAAAATCCTTGCAAGAACATTCACCATCTCTAAAATGGTGAAATCTATTTCTATCTCTCACAATAATCTCCCTGTTAAAAATTTTGGATATCATCTTTGTCACATCATGGCAATCCCAACAAACTCTGAGGTTCTTCACAATTCTAATGGGCAATCCCTCCTTCAGGCTAATCAATCCAAATGCAATGGCCATCTTCTCACTGTGTTTACACAAAGCGTCTTCTTTTTCTTCTTCTTCTATGTCAAAGAGAACAGGGTTAGTATTTGCTACGTACCCGGCTAACTTTAGTCGTTTAGAAATATCTCCCCACATCGTTTCGATGGCATCGTAATTCGGGTGGGACTTGTCTCCTACAAAGAATTCATGAACTTCTCCATTGACCTCCATAACACTGCAACCAGGGGGCTTGCTTACACCTTCCACTTTCATAGACTGGCGCACATTACTTACCCTTTCCCAGTTCTTAGTGTCGGCGTATATGTTTGACAAAAGCACGTAGGCACCATGATTCTTGGCTTCGAGCTCTACCAGTTTTCTGGAGGCAACCTCACCCAACTCCATATTCTTGTACATTCTACACGCATTGAGTAGAGCTCCCCAAGCACCTGCGTGTGGCTTAAGGGGCATGGCGTTAATGAAGTTTAGAGCCTCGTCTAATCGCCCAGCTCGACCGTATAAATCAACCATACAACCATAATGCTCAAGTTGTGGTTCAATGCCATAGTCTCTCTTCATCGAGTCGAAATGCAGACGACCTTCATCGACCAGTCCGACCACACTGCAACCTCTTATAATGGAAATAAATGTTATTTCGTTAGGGGCAGCTCCTTCCTTTTTCATGAGGGAAAAAAGTTCAAGGCACTTCTCACCATAACCATTCATGGAAAGCCCACCTATGGCACTACTCCATGTATATACATTCTTTTCATTCATTTGCCAGAACACCTCCATAGCCTTATCAACATTCCCACATTTGAAATACATATCAACAAGAGCAGTACCGAGAGTGACAGTCATCCGTATCTTATTCCTCTCTATATAAGCATGAGCCCATCTCCCCTGGTCTAGTGCACCCAAGTGAGTGCAGGCCGTCAAAACTGAAACCATAGACACCTCATTCACCTTGACACCATCCATCTGCATAAGTTTAAACAGATTCAAAGCCTCCCTAGATTGGCCCCTCTGTGCATAACCAGCAATCATAGCATTCCATGAAATAGAATCCCTTTGAGGCATTTCGTCGAACAGGTCTCGTGCAAAACCAGTGTCACCACATTTGGCGCAGGCGCTCACCATAGCCGTCTGACAGACTAAATCTGGCTCCCGAACCGATTCGAACACACGATAGCATGAATTCAAGCAACCCATTTCAGCATACATGAAGATTAACCCACTTTGAACATGTGGGTCGAATTCGAAACCATGTTTGATAAGCGCACCGTGAACGGTTGGACCTGCTTCACAAGCAGACAACTGCGCGCAAGTCCGAACCAGAAAATTGAAAGTGTAATTATCTGGTGACATAAGGTCATTGGATTGGAGAATTCTGTTGTAAAACTGAAAGCTTTTGTGTGGGGTTGAACTTCTGGAATAGGCTCTGATCATGGAGTTTAACGTAAATAGGGTTGGGTCGGCACATTGGTCCAGAATTTGATTAGAGTAAGCTAGATTGGTCGGGTTTTTAAGGGCAATGGATGCAACAAATTGGCCTAAAAGTTGGCGATCGGTCAGAAGGCCATTAAAGAGCAATTGGGTGTGGATTTTCTTGAGCTCATTGAGCGTGGTGAAGGAATCGATCAGAGAAATTGTTGGGTGCTTTGCGATATTTCTTAAGGTGCTCATAAGTGCTAATCAAAGCAGAAAAAGAAGATCGCATACAGCAGTCAGAATCATCTGGTATTTTTACTGTGGGAGCAACGCCAGAATGAAACCGAAAGAAACTTTTGCTTAGGGGACGAAGTGATTTGTGTTCTTGGCAGAGAGCGAGATAGTCAAAGTGTGTGCGACCGACCAATCCTTTGAAGGGGACATTCATACATGGCAATAGTTATAGCATACGTTAAATTGCAAATATAGCACAATCCCAAGTCGATCTTGAATCAAAATTTATGAAAAATCCCAAAAAAAAAAAAAACTCATAACATATATCAATATCGTGTGTGTAACAATGATACAAGTCGTTGGATGCGAATTCTGGCCTGCCACGTGTCATGATCAAAATGATGAGTTGAATTAACGCGCGCACAAAATATAGGAGTTGACTCCAAAATACCCAAATCGGCAGTCGGGGTAGGACCTACAGTACCGAGCCGACCTAAGACGAAGTCCGTAACAATGTCTTTTCCGAACCCGACAACACGCCGCGTTTTTAGGGTGTGTCAGAGTTCCTAATAGAAACCCTTGCCTTAAATCCAAGGTACGCAACCCTAGATAAACTTGGCGAGTTAGATCGGACTAGAACTAACTTACTCGTCGGAGTGCTAACTTTGTTTTGCAGGTTTCGTGAGTTGTCTGGGAAGGGGTGGAACAGCGGCCAATAGCTCATCCTGTACGTTCCGATCTTATACTAATCCGAGCTTGACAATTTCGAACTCAAACACACGTCTACCACTAATATACCATATCAATGATTATACAACTTTCATTTTTTATTGATGTTTCGTTTGCTTGTTTAATTAATATTTGGTCTATCACTAATATATTATATTAATAAAATTGAAATAGTATATTAATGATTGTATAACTTTAATTTTCTATCGGTATTCTTTGTGCATATCGATATACTATTTGGTCTGTCATTTTAATACACCATATTAATAGAATGAAAATGATATATTACACATTATGTTAGTGTTCTAATGTTTATTTAATATTCGTCCTATCTCTTTTGAATGACATTGTTTAAGATGATTTTTTCTAAAATAATATTTTTTAAATAATAACACTTTTTTAAAAAGAATTTTAGAAGAATAACTAATTTAGAATTAGTAAACATTTATAGAGTAATCTTAGTTGAGCAAAAGTTCTTTTTTCTAAAAAAAAAAAATATAGAATATCCTGTAAATTAAATAGTTAAACAAATTCACATTTATAGAGCGTGGGCATACTATATATTAATTTTGACACGTGTATTATAAAATCCAAAACGGCTGATTAAATATTTAACACACGTGGAACAAGAAGATATTCCATAAATTGAAATGACCTTTGCCAAACTAAAATTCAAGAGAACAAAAACCTCAATCCATTGTCCTAACACAATTTAAGATTTTTCTATCTTTTATGAATTCATAGAATATTCTTTTGATTTTCTTTTACTTTTTCTCAAATGGAGATGAGAAAGTAATATAAAAAGTTTTGATTGGAAACATACCTTATAAAAAATTTTATTTTATTTTATTTATATTTTTTATTGTTTCTTATCCTCCTTTATACATCTCTATATATAGTACTTGTCGAAATTTAAAAATCAATTAAATCAAGTAAGTTCAATTTAATTAACCACGATCTTCTACTACCAACATCTGTACAATACTAGCTTTTCTAATGTGTCTCTCCTTTATATGTGTATCAAAACACTGAATCCTTAAATTCTTACCGTACCACTACATCAAAAAAAAAATTACAGAAAATTTGATGGTAGTTGTTTCCAACTCAAAAGATTATCGAGAAGAAAAGAAAAGGCAATATGAAAAGTAGTTGTTTTGCTTTAATTTTTTTTGATGTTAACATAAAGTAGCCGATATTCCATAATCGTTAGGGATTTAAAATCAAAGGCAATGGAGGGTGGCAACCCAGAATCACTCTCATTTTCACCTCTACAGTGTAAATAGTGCTAGATAATTTCTAGACTCTTGTAAAGGTATGATTGGCTCTTCTAAATTAAAGCCATAGGAAAAAAAAAAGTGGCCCTCCTGCTCTTTGGCTCTATCCATCAAGTTTTTTGTCATGTAACCAAGTCTTTTCCTTTTGGGCCCATAATTTTACAAATGCTGCTTTAACAAATTCATTTATTAATGAAACGCCACTTAATTTCAATATGAGGGGCCAAGGCCAACATTGATGGTAAGATATCAAAATCACATGAAAATGTATGGGGGAGTAAATCGATTTACATCATTAAACTACAAATTTAGTATTTGAACTTTGATCGAACAAATATGAGTTGATTTGGCATAGTGCTCATCAAATAAACAAAAGGTATAATATGCTCTCTTTTCTCTTTTCAAAGATGGTTACGTTTTAAATTTAGGGACTAAATTGAGAAAATCATTAAAGGATAGGCTAAATTTATACAATTTTACCCATTTATATTCTTTTGGTCTTAATTTCAACACGAGGGGGAATAGTTTTAGACAGCAAAAATTCAAATTTCTCTCAATGTGTCTGTCAGCAAGCCAAGCTACCAAACTTGTTGATGCAACTTTTTCCTCATCTTTGTCGTCAAGTTTCTGCGGCATTTGTTTATAATTTGCAAGAATGATGGGGGTGCGATCTCGCTCCCTCTCTCCAACTTTCCACACTATAAAATTGCCATCCACGCCTCCAAAAAAACATCCATTTTTCTCACTTCTTCAAGCAAGAAAAATGTTGAATTTTTTAGCCTGATTTGTGAATCCCAAATGCACCCATTTCCCACCTATGGATTCTGAAACGACCCTTTTTGTGCCAGAGGCTGAAACTAATTCCCAGTCCCTTTGGATCTCCAACTCTGGCTCCTCCATGGAAGGCAGATTTCTGCAAGAACAAGCAGATGGAGCTCGGAACTCTGCAGGGAAAAAACGAAGGCTCACAGTGGACCAAGTTCGGTTACTTGAGAGGAATTTTAATGTGGAGAACAAGCTTGAACATGAGAGGAAGGTTCAACTTGCAGAGGAGATCGGTTTGCGGCCTCGCCAAGTTGCAGTTTGGTTTCAGAATCGAAGGGCTCGCTCTAAAACCAAAAAAATTGAGATTGATTATGAATCCTTGAATGCTGAATATCATAAACTCAAGAAAGACTATACCAGTCTTGTCAAGCTGAATCATGATCTCAAAGCTGAGGTAAACTCGTTAATTTCAGTTGATAAATTACCATGTTATAGTAAATTTAATATTCTATTAATAATTTGCTTCAATATTGTATTGATTGTGGCTCTTTTCTGCCACACAGGCTGATGAACTGAGAGAAAAATGGGCTGCTGCTGAGAAGATGAGGAACCCTTTAGAACCAGTTGAAGTTGAAGTTGAAGCCATGGATTCATCAGTTACAGAGCTTGGAAAACCAAATACAAGCACAATGGGTGAAGATTTGTACAACGTGCAAATGGGGTCATCCAGACAGGAAGAGGGCAGCCGAAGTTCAAGCAAAAGTGATGGCTTTTATTCTGAAAGCCCCACCATGGAAAACCAGTCACAGTCGGATAATTTCTTGCGAGATGAAGAAGATGAATTGGGCAAATTGGTAAAACTAGAAGATGAAATTTATGCTGATGAGTTCATTGATTCCTTTAATTTTATCAGTACCGCAGTTGAGGATCAATCTCTCTGCTTCTGGTCTTGTTGAAGTATACTTCTAAGTAAATGTTAAAATGTACTGAAGGCATAGTAATAAAAGATTTTGCAAGTCATCAATGCAACTTCATTTACTGTCATTTTGAGTAATCATCTTCAAACTGTCCTCACAAGAACCAGCAAAAGAGATCGCTTTTGACAATGAAGCAACGAAAAAAATGCTCATCATTTGTTTAATGGGTCGAAAGATCTAAAAAGTTTCAATTTTCAATCATACATTTTTTATTTTAAGACCCTTGAGAAACGTTCTCTGTTTCACGTTGCCAGAGTAAATGTCAAATTGTGCAATCTTTTCAAAAAGAGTCGCTTGAAAATTGAAATCCTAACAAAGAAAAAGGGGCAGGTGGAAAGTTAAATTTGTGAATGGCCCAGATGTCAAAAGATTATGAACAGGCCAAAATGACTTTTGGGCAATCCCGTTGCATTGCTTATGGATATTGACAGCTCCACCTTCCATTATTGACATATTTGAGTCTGATCTCAACCTTTTTGTCTCTGCAATGGACTCCAAAATAGTTTCTTAATCTGATTGAACAAGCCATCACCGCCCAAGAGAGAGAAGATGAAGATACAATCCAAATAAATAAAATAAGAAAGAATCTGGTATATATGTGGACTTTGTAGCTCCAACTCTTATGGTCCATAGTCTGTCACGTCCTTCTCTTGCACAAAATTGTTCTGAAAAACTTGTACAAGTAACTTTCAGTGACGTGAGGATTTCTTAAGCCATTCATTTGGGGTTTTCTAAGGGAAAGAGATGGGTGCTTTTACTGCTATTGAAACAGGAACTTCAACAGAAAGTTTCTGTGTTGGTGCAACACCATTTTCATGAAATAGGAAGCTTTTTTCTTGGCTGTAATGAAAGATCTACGGCAGCAGTGTGAAAAGTAAAACAAATCAGGTTGAATTGTAAAGATTAAACTTGTAATTTAAAAAATTAAATATTATTAGCTTAAAAAAGGGTGCACGTGCGATTGGAGACACTTGGCTGAGATGGGATTTGAAGATCTTTTACTGTTGGAATGGAGGCTCCAGCATTTGGCACATGTGATATTGATGTTTCATCAATCGCAATCAGTGAATAATGATGGTGTCAAGCTTTTTTAGGTTTAGTTTTTAATTTCTTGTCAAGTTTTGAATGCAACAGTCAGGTTTTTGCGTATCGAGAATGAATTAATGTGCTGTTTCCAGTACTTGTTGAACTGGACGGTGCAGTTATTTCCAAATAAAATACAAAAAAGTTAGCCTACTTTGCCTTAAAATTTTGATTGATTTATGTTTAGAGTATTTAGAGGATTTAGATTAGGAGCTATAGTTCTTAAGTTTTTAAACCAAGATCATTGATGAGTATTATTATACTCGTAGTATATAATATAAAGTTAATATGTTCGTGAAAGAGTTCAAATGCACAATTCATAGAAGAAAACACTAGATATATAACCACTTGAATTAGTTGTGATAAAACTAATTCACTTCTATTTCGCTAATCTTTGGAGAAGATACGTCCACCTAAGAGTTTTAAATTTTCAACTGGTAGACTTTTTGGAACCGACACTTTAGAGGTCATTTCAAAAAACCTGCACAATAATTTAAAAAGAAAAAAAAAACTGAACTCCAAACAATAATTTCAATAAGCGACCTGATTACAGCTCCATTAAATATAATAATAATAATAATAATAATTGCAAGAAAATTTTTGTCAAACAGCCCCCACCTATCTATTTGAAACGATGGATATTAATGCACAACACCCCAAAAGAAATCCTTTATTTCTAACTTGGAAGAAACCTCCATGAAACTGTAGTTTGGAGAACATCCATGGCAATGGCATTACCATCTCCAAGAACACAAACTGGAAACACCCAAGAAAGTGGAAGATGTCCGAAGGTAAAGACTAGAAAGAGACTACAGAACCAAATTGATCCAATATTTTTCATTTGGAGCTACTGCTACAAAGTACAGTTCATCTTGTGATTGCAGCAGCAAAAACATGCATAAAAATGGCAGACAAATCTATAAATCAGATCAAGGCCCGACAGAACAGACATCAAAAGGGTCAACCATTCCAGCAGGAGTCGACAATTCTCACATATTCTTGCAGTTATATGCAATCCATGGGGATGGTTGGTTCAGTTTCTTACCATTTTTGTGCTCCGACTAAGGTAATATATACACTGTCAAATCAAACCGAAACGCGGCATTGGAGCATGTTTTTGCAATCTCCAAAGCTTTATATCAATATTCATAGAATTTCATCTCAAAACCAATTGACAATAAGAGGAGTAGTCCATGTCTTTATAAACCTATGTTAGGTTCCATCTCTTTTCAATATGGGATCCTCAATACTTTGTAATAGTACTCCTTCAGACAGTTTAAGAAACAAGATCCGTGATATGATATAAGAGAAATGAAGGTTTCAGCTACAGCCTACAGTATCACAAATGAAGGTTGTTTGAGAACAATCTCAACTTTATATTTAAATTTGACGGCTCTATCATTCAGTCATATGATACAAGAGAAAAAAACTGTGCATCCAAGAAAATAGTAAGTTATCATTGATCAGAGTGCTAACTCAAGTAACAAGTCTATGTCAAGACAAATGAGACTACGATCAAACATGGCCTTTTTCATTGTCGTGCGATGTAACATTAATTCGCCCTTTCAATTTGATTCATTTTCTGAAAGCTTTACTAATCAGTCGGAGAATGCTCCACATGAATGTCGATACAATGAAAAGAAACACTCCAGTGACAATGGCCTCCTTAAGACCAAGATTCACCAACAAGTTCACCAGAAGACCTGCCAATACAACACCAAAGAAATTTGCAGAGACACCTGACCAGAATGGCATATCTAGGATGGAAGCTATGATGGCGCCGGTCCAAGCTCCTGTTCCAGGGAAAGGCACAGCCACAAACAGCATTAGACCAAGCCATTGGAACTCTTCAACTGGTGCAGCTTTCTCTTTCCCCCTCTTGAATAACATGTCAAGGAATCGAGAGGCAGAAGCATTCCTTCCCGCAAGGAAAGTTGCAAACTTCTTCAAATAGAGGATGATAAGGGGCACCGGGACCATGTTCCTACATTAGAAACCCACAATTTATTAATTTCATGTGACCAGACTACAAGATTCACTCATGCAGAAGAGTAAGAAATTCACAGACAACCACTGGCCATAAACCTTACGAACCATTTCAATGTTCAAACATCCATCAATGTTTAAAGGGCTAGGCTTATGCTTCAAGATTTAGGCTTTCTTTGATTCTTAAGAGGCTCGTGTCTTCATGAGAACAATCTGAGGCTTGAAATCTCAACAACTCGTGGAATGACTAGAAAGATAAAATCAACTTACTATCTATTCTTCAAAATACAAAGGCCCTCTTACATATGTAATATCAATAAAGCATGAGTAATCTACTCCATCGCTACTTCTTTATTTCAACAGAAACTTCCACCTCAAACTAAAACGTCGATGTCCATGTGAATAAAAAGTAAAAAAGGCTAAATATTCAGTATCAGTTGAGTTGGGCAAAAATGTAATATTCAGTATTACAGATGCAGAGAATATATAGCATCTAAATATCGAGCTTTCTGAAATTATATTTTAAGAACTCACCCAAGAACGGAGAGAACCGTTAGAGCAACAGGCTTAAGCTGCATCCAGTAACCAACAGGGATCGCCCCACGGAGCTCAATTACAGGAAGTGTAGCGAGGGCAAATACTACAGCCTCGGCAGGCCAGCCCGAGCTCCGCAATGTGGTGGCGATCTTTAGGCCAAAATTCGAAGCTCTGATAGAATCACCGGCAGCTTTGGCATCCCCAGAAGCAGCAAACCAAGAAAGGGATAGAGAAGCCCAAAACAGAACCAACAGCAGAATCTTGACCGGCTTCTCCTCGAAAGAAGGCATAATATCGTCTTCTTCAACAAACCCATTTGAAAAAGCTCGAGTGACAGTACGAAAGATCCGAGAAGTCGCGAAAATAGGACTGAAATGGTTGAAATGGCGAACGTTTATACATGGACTAGAGCTATGAAGAGATTGTTTACTCTGACTAACGGAGGGTCGATTGAGCTTGAGGAAGATATGGGTCTTTCTCGGCGAAAATGCCGACATTATTGGTGGAGTTGATGCTACAGAAGTACCCATCGCTGGCCGGAGACTGACGGACACGCCTGGGGTTGAATTCTTCAAGAAAATTCCTCTTCTGCTCCAGCGGGATTTTGCCGAGTCACTTAACTGGGTGGGATTGTGGCATTGGAAATTGATTCAGAGGATGATAATGGAAGGGGGTTTAGAGGAGATTTCTCCGCTGCCAATCACAAGATTGCGAGCGGAGTTCGTGCCTCCTAGAAACTGGGATGAATTGGAAAGGGCATTGCTAATTTTACCCTATAAAAAGTTCGAAGATATTCAAAATTGGGTAGAGAGGGAAGTGGGAGATATCGGCATAAGCAACAAGAGGGAGGATTTACCGAGGTTTTGTTTGGACTTTGGATAAGAGAGAGTCCGTAATGAGCTTCGGAAGAAAAACAAGCAATACGTAGAAGAGGACGGCGAACGATTTTCAAGACGAACTTGGGAATTAGGAACAAGAAGATGAGCAAATAAAATATAATTAAAGAATATGGAGTTCGATCAGATATACGTTATTCAATTTATGGTTCAATCTTGTTGTTCTTTCGAAGGAAATAGTTGAGATACTTCACCTTAAACATAGTTTACCAACGTATTAATAATATTTATTTTTGTAATTTCAGGTTTCTATTCTGGCATTTGTAATATCCAAATAAAATAAAATATTTTGGTTTAGGTACCTATCTCTCACCAAAAAATTGTGGGTTTGAATCTATATGACACTCACTTAGTTTAGGTATCTATCTCGGACCAAAAAGTTGTGGGTTTGAATCCGCATATTGCAACCATGCAACTTTCGTAAAATTTATATCTAATAACTTATATATTTCAACTTTGAGGGAGGGAGCGTGAGCCATTGAACCTAAAATATCATCAATATATTCCATATTCTGTATATTGGTTACGTTGAAGGGTAAAATACGACCTACTAAGTGGAGTAAAAGAATAGATCATCTCACCTGATCTATTCATCATACCTTGGAGATACATTCTCGCATAACCATCTGTGCATAACTAATTTTGTAACAACCTCAATAGATTGAAAATTGGGACCCACATGGCTTTGCCTTTTGTAAGCAAGTATGTAATTCTCTTTCCTCATCTCGATAGTAGTAGATCAGATTCTTACTGACTTGAACGTCGGAGTGTTTACTCTCCCTATACAAGTCAAGTCGACATGATCAAGTTATCCATGTAACTGATATACTTGACATATCGATAAGAAACCTACAATGTTATATCAAAATCTTAAATACAAAGAAGATTTATTAGCGATATACCTAATATGAAGTATAACATTGATATATTTAATGGGAGTGATATGCTTCATATTAGGTATATCACTTTTAAAAAAATAATAATAAGAGCAAGCAAAATCAAAATTAAAAAAGAAAAATTTGATTTAAATATTTTACTTTTACTAAATCTAAATCAAAAAATTGTTGATATATTTGAAATCAAATATAACAAATATGTTTGGTACCCATTAAAAATACTTACATTCTTTCTCGACATCTTGCCCTAAACCCTAAACATAACTCGGGTAATGTTTCATTTTTTTTTTTAATTTTGAAGGACTATTTCAATCGAAATCTTATCGCTTGAGAGATTCGTGTAGAATGAATCAAATGGAACATGCAAAATTGAGGTAAACAACATTTTCTAATGCTTTAGTATTCAGCCACGTAGTACATTACCAGTAGGTTAAGCAATTGTCCATCAACTTAGAAAAAGTTCAATCTTAAAGATTGAACTTCAAAATATACATATACTTCGAGTATGACATCAAACTATTATACATATCTTTTGATTTGATTTATTTCTGACAGGTCGATATTCGTCCTTCTAAAACAATGTTTCGTTTTTTGAATAGGTTGGATCAATTTCTATTTTTGTGTTATGTTTTCATCTCATCATACAAATAAATCCTTAATATATCAATTAAGTGATTGGACGAAAATTTTGAATGTCGATGTCTAGCTCAACTGATTAAGGTATTATTTTGAATTACAGTTGGGTTCAAATTCACACTGGAGAGGAAAAAATATATATATATCCATAAAGTGGAATTGGAACGCGTTGGGCTAGAGCCTGGAGGTCGAATTCGGCGTAATCTAAATCTATCACAGTTCCGGCTTTAGGCGCCACCGATTTCGCTTCCGTCGCCGCCGCTCGACCCAGAATCGATGAGTCGCAAGAGAGACAAACCCTACCCTTCCCGCCACGTCCCTACCTCCGTCTCAAAGAGGCGGCGCCCTCTGCCGCCGGTACCGTCGCCGCCGGAGGACGACGATATAGACAAGCCCATACCCAAGCCCGCGCCGCCGCCTGCCCTGGTCATCGTTGACCTACCTTCAAACTGTTCGGTGCTTGACTTGAAGTCCCGATTTGAGATTTACGGATCCATCTCCCGCATCCGCATCGACCGTGATTGTGTTGGTTTCATCGCTTATCGCACTAAAGACTCCGCCGATGCTGCCATGGCCGCCGCCCTCGACCCCTCCTTCGGCTTCACCATTGACTCCAAAAAGGTATTTTCTTTTTCCTGTTACTCTGAAGTAGAAAAACCTCAATTGAAGCTCATACTCTGACCATTCTTGTTTAGTAGAGATTTATGTACGAATTATGGTTTATTTTCTACTGTTTGCTGCACTTCTCTCATTCTCAATTGGCAATTCGGAACTATTTTCTGCTTCGTAACTAAAAATCTGAACACCCATCTGAACTTTGAGTCTTAAATTTGTGTGCAAATCCCTGTACTTCTAGTAGGGCTTGAGACTGAATTTTGACTTGCTGCTCCTGAAATAATGAAATTGGGGATATATTTTCTACTGTTAGCTATTTCTCCATGGCAATTTGGAACTACTTTTTGCTTCCGAAGTCCAAACAGAAAATCTCGACGCCTATTTGAACTCTGAGTCTTAGTTTTGTGTGCAAATCTCTACACTTCTCGTAGGGCTTGAAACTGGATTGGCTTTGCGGCTCTTCTCTTTGTCATTATGAATGATGAAATTGAGGACATTTCACAGGTTCAGGTATTATGGGCGAATGATCCTCAAGTGCAATGGAGGCAAGGGATTAACGTTGGGGTTAACAAGAAAAACGAACTGTCGTCAAAGCTCTTGCGGGCAGAAGTGCCACTGAGCAGACATGGCAGAGGCAATAGACTTGCTTCAACTATTGTAAACCCCAGAAAAAGTGACTGTTCTTCAAGGTTGGACGTGCCTTTCAGGGCCAGGGAAGTTGTTGCTTATGATGATATTCTCTAAGCTTATAGTTTGCCTGCTTTTTTTTTTCTTCCCTTAGTTTTGGTATAGATAAGAGTTTTCAAGTGTATTACTATTTTCTTCTAGTTTCCTCCCTTTCCCTACCTTAATTCTTATTGATTGAAGCTTCTTCATGGTCCTATAAACTCATGTTTGTGTTAATGTATATCTACCATTAATGGAAGGAAACTCAAGCTTCTCACCAAAGCTTAGCAGCTTAATTACTGTGTTCTTTTGGTTGAACTGAACTGAGTTCACTTTTAGTTATGCGTTGACATTCCCTTACTGTATTATTGAAGAATCGAGCATTCGGCTAACGTTAAGATTTTTTCATACTATTCTACTGTACAATTCTTTGGGCCAAGCAGCAAATCAAGCGAACTGCCTCTAGCTTCTTCATCATGGTTATGTAATTACTCTGTTTTGGGGCTCTTTTGGTTGTTCCTGTTCTTGCTCCCCTTTTGTGGTTTTTTTTACTATATTGAATGATAAGGCTGTTTGTTATTAAAGTAGTGAAACAAAGCAACTAAAGTTTTATGTATATTATATATGTTGGGTTTATGATCTTCTTGTCTTTGGATTAAAATGTTTGACTCACTAACACTTCTGGATTTGTAGAATCTGGAATTGAGGAATTTAATTACAAAAATCTAGATTTTTATGTAATTTTTGTTAGGTTAGTAGATTAATTATTTGTAAAAGTATATATTACGAGAAGATTGAATTATCAAATTCATAGTTTGGTAACATAGGTTCAGTTTCATAACTTCAAGCTATACAAAGTCAATCTAGTTAAACTTTGGTTTTTTTCTTTTTCCTTTTTGAATACAACATATGGGATAGGGGATTGAATGCACAATCTCTTAATTGGAAATGCGTACCAATTACCATTGAGTTATTTTCGTTTTGGCTAGTCAAACTTTGGTGGATGGTTATTACAAACAAAAATTGAAGTATGGGGATTGAATTTACAATTTAACCCGATGAAAAAAAAAAAGATATTCTCACTCTAAAATAATAGGAATAACAATTATTGTTGTAATTGATAATGAACACCTGAAAAGTATAATCTAAATTTTTAGTCCTTTTTAACATATGGATAATCGAAAAATTATACCTTGAAAGTGCGTAAGAATTTCTCCTGCCTAGTGATGTCAAAAGGAAAAAAACTATTCGTCAATACTCTTATAAATCAAATAGTTGGACTGTTAAGGAGGTAAATATCGATGAAATATAAATAATACCAACAAAAAACATCATCAATATAAATAAATACTACAATTTATAACTTATTTATTAATAGAGAGAAATTTTTATAGATCTTCTAGAATATTTAACGAAATTTTATAAATACTCCTTGAATTGAACTGCTTGCCAAACTGGGGTGCTTCGTCGAAGAAAGGTACGATCTTTCTGTTCGGGCGCAGGCCCAAACTCCTCCGGCGAACAGCCCAGCCGAAGCAAATTACGACAACCTTCGAGATTAATGGTGGCGCTACGGTTGTTCCAATTGCAGAATTGATCCACGATTGATGGAAGACGGCGGCGAACAAGAGATATGGAGTTGGGGAGCAGGAACCGACGGGCAACTGGGCACCGGACGACTCGAAGACGAGACCCTCCCTCAACTCCTCCTGACTCCGCCACTCTCCTCCGCCGCCGCCATCTCCACCCTCTCCTGCGGCGGCGCTCATGCTATCGCTTTGACGTCCGGTACCCTATTCTCCTCTTCTCTCGTTCTTCCCCATATCCGTGTTCCCTAAAAAAGTCACCTTTGAACATTACTTCCATTTAACCAAGTAGATTTTTTAATCTTGTTCGTTTCATTTGTTTTTGGCAGGTGGTGGGGTGCTCACATGGGGAAGAGGCAACTCGGGGCAGCTGGGGCTAGGGGACACGGCGAGCAGTTTACACCCTATGCCGGTGAAGGGGTTGGAAAGCTACTGCATAACCCACGTTTCTGCCGGATGGAGCCATTCTGGTTTTGTTTCGGGTTTGCATACTAATTGCTAGTTCTTTGTAAAGTATTGCTTTGCGTCTCCTAATAGTTCCCTCTTCCACTTTTGCTGGTTTTTGTAGATGAAGGGAAGCTTTATACTTGTGGGGATGGCTCGTTTGGGCAGCTTGGGCAGGGTGATTACCAGTCATGTAGCCTCCCTGTTGAAGTCTCTTTTTTCTCTGATAAACATGTTGATCATATTGCTTGTGGGATGCGCCACTCGCTTGCATTGGTCAAAGGTACAGAAAAGCCTGTATGATGTGAACATGATCCTCATAATGTTATGTTTCAGCATGAAACTCTGCTTCTTTGAATCTTTATCCATGTCCTTGTGATCAAGTTTTTAACTTATATCTGGTTTATTCTTTGATAATGGAACTTCCATCGTAATTCTATCTGGGGTTGTGAATAATTTTTGTATGTTCTGCCTTCTCTCCTCCATCAGCTGAGATTAGTTGTCCAAGTTGTAGAGAATCGATTTTAGCATCTTAGAAAACAGGGGATGAAGCTTCAGTGAAATGATGAATATCTTCTTAAATACTCATTGATAGCTCCCAAAGTTTATGATGATGATGCAGGTTCTTCAGGTGTTCAAGTTTATGGATTTGGAGCTGGGAAGCGAGGTCAATTGGGTATCTCCAAGAAGACTCAATCAACTAATCTTCCTGTACTCTCCTTGGGATTGGAAGCTGCTGAAATAGTTGGCATAGCTGCAGCTGGAGATCACAGTGCTGCATTATCCAGTGAGTGAGTTGCATCAAAATTTCTTTGGATCCATATCGATTCCCCCTGGTAAATTTGTACTTTTGGCGTCAGTACAGCGAGCCATGTGTTCTAAGGGCATCTAGCCACTAAGAATTGCATAAGAATCACTTACACAGTACTGCTAAATCTAGAATCAGTTAAAGGGCATTCAGTCTAACCTCTGATAGTTCTGATCACATTGTCCTATGTTGGCTTTTGCTTTAGCTGATGGGCGTCTCTACACTTGGGGAAGGGGATTCGACAGCAATTCAGATGCATATTCTCCTCAACATCTACCTTCGTCATTATCATTCAAAAAAGTTGCTCTTGGATGGAATCATGCACTAGTTTTAACCGGTATCAACGTTCATTTCACTTCTTATTGATAGTAATTCCACCAGAATGTTTTCAGTTTTACCTGGCCGTTCCCCAGGATTATGTACATGTGATGATCCTCTTCTTGTTAAGCAGTAACCATGGTTATCTTGAAACAGATGAAGGGGACGTTTATATGCTTGGTGGCAAACATCACGGATCCTTGAGCGATTCTGAAAGGCTAAATGCTGTGAAGTCTTTGCCTGGTATTAGAATTAACTTTACCAATCCTTGACAAAACGATTCTAGTTCTTAGATAAGTTGCCTGCTGATTACTACTTGTATGGGGTTTTCATTGCATTTCAGGTGATTTAGAGGGAGGAAATCTCCGAGCAGTCCCTGCTCTTGGTGGAACAAAAATTTTGGATATTGCAGCTGGAGCCGAGCATTCTGCAGTCGTGACAGGTATGGTTTTCCAAATTTGTTGGTTCATACGATTCTCGGTCGCCCTCCTTATATGTTCAAATTTTGATATGGTGTGTTAGAGGACGGAGCTGTAAAGACATGGGGTTGGGGGGAGCATGGTCAGCTGGGCTTGGGAGATACATTTGACCACACCAACCCACAGACGGTAAACCTAAGCCTCAAACTTGAGAGGGCAGCTTTTGACATCAAAATCTTCAGTGGCAGTGGCTTTACGGTTGCTATAACAACACACCATGTTGCTCCAACTCCCACCAACTGAAAAACTGTATTGAATTTTCGAGTTATTCAGATCAGTTCCCTGGTAGCTGGCCTGTCATCGTGTCATTATTTTAACTTTATGGTATTTGAATATGTAACATATGAAAAAGAAAATCAATGAAGAGCTTAACAAAAGAGATTATTGATTCACCGTCACTGAAACGAATCTTTAACAATTCTTATTCTATTGAGTTGGGGGAAATAATTGTGGTCTGTTCGCCTATATTTTTACATCTGCGAGAAAGCCCGATTAAGTGGGGTGGAGACTGCAACCTAAACTACAAGTTGAAAGAAATACACATAAACTACGATCTAAAATGCTACAAAACAAGAAAAAATACTAAGCACTTTGAGGCACCGGGCTCTTCTGGCTAAGAAAGAAAGAATTTAAACAGCCTGGTGTAAACTCCTACGTGATAATCAGTAGATTATTCTCATAACCGCTGCTGTTAACTATTGGGCGTAAGGGATCGATCCTCCATTGGCCATCAACAATGAATTTAATCTGCATATCACGAGAAACTGCAAGATATTTATTGTTCAAAGCATAAAACATGAGAATAGAACCACCAAAGAACAACCAACCTCGTATTTTCCGGGATACAGCTTTAGAAACAAAGAGAAAACACCCGTACTGGACTTTTCCATCTTTCTCTGCAGAATGAGAACAAGCTGTCGTTAAATAAGCGTAAGACTACATGAGATGAATGAATAAAAATGAACTGTTATTCTTCAGTCTACGAGATTTGCTAATAGAACACCCATAACACCACTTCCCACTACGATTTCTAATGTCAGATTCGAGTAAGCATCTAACTAATAATCAGAAACACAGGCTATCTGCAAAACTATAGAAATATCAGACACTAGAAACCTACATGATTTTTCCCCTGTGAAGATGTACACCATGGAATTCACATTCTTCAATCTCATTCATAACTTAAAACTTCTATATGCTTGTCCAACCATGAAAATTCAGCTAGAATAGTAGTGTCTTTCAAACCAAATGGCACATTCGTTTCAAAGGAAGCCATGGTTCATAAAATGCAAACCCATTGCAAGCAAGTCATTCACCATTCCACGAAAGTAGAGGAAGTTTAGAAAATAGAAGTCCAAGTTATTTGCAAGGAAAAATATGTACGTTTCCAGAAAAGGTTCACTCAGCTAGCAGAGAATATACTAGGAGAGGGATGGAGAGTAAGATAACCCCACAGCCCGTAGGGTTCTGTTCATTAGTCAAGTGTCCTGCATATTCTTATTGAGAAGCCTAACTTCTGAGCAACCATGAAGTGCCAATTTCATTTAATTTCATTTTGATCAGAAGCCAAGCAGTTCATTCTATATGCATAACAGAAACCAACCAATTCCACTTTACAGACTCCAATGTTAGACTTAAATATTCTCCGTAAGTCATTTCAACCATCAAAATCAAGCAAAGTAATCAAATAGGAAGGATATTTTACCTGGGTTGCCCAACCATCAAATGATCCTACTAAGAAAACCTCTGATGCAGAATTGGGCCAGACCACACAAGCAGTTCGAAGAACTTGCAAAGCTCTGCGGGCACAATTGATCCTCTTTTGTTTCTCCTCTATCACCTTTTGTGCATCACTGAAAGACATAATGTCATTGATATACTTCCATGGTTAAAACAAGTCATTATGTAAAACATAAGTTTCCCATACATAATTGTCATTGCCATCTTTCCTTCTACCACTGCTAATTTTGCTCGTATAGACCTTAGCTTGTCCTTGGCATTAAGTATCTCATTTTCTTGAAACTCATAAGCATCAGAAAGCTCCAGAAAATCATCAGCGGATCTACTTTGACCCTAATGATCATGATCACGAAAAATGTGCAGGTTCAATGATTATGATATTCATACTCTTTGTCAATACTATTAGAAAAGTTTGCATCGTTTACTTTATGTACTATTATAATAAAGTAGAGGGATTGCTTTAGATCTTCTCCACTCCCATAATATAGAAGGGAAGTGAACGAAAGAATCAATTTTTCATGCGTTTGAATCCAAGACATGTAGATTGTTGTAGTTTATTCGATAACAAAACAAGTTGCTGAATAAACCTTCTCTGACGCAAATGTATTAGATCTCAATGAGCCAACCATAGACGAAAGCTCCAACTCCAAGTTCTGAAGGTGACGTCGGATTTGATGGTAATTCATTTCTTCCTCGCCAGGGTTTGATTTGATAAGATCCCCTCCAGATCCTAGGGTTCCATATCTTGAAACATCCAATACTTCCCCACCCCTTCCATTTCTCAAAGCATTTTCAGAAGCTGTATATATAAAAAAATATATATATATATCAGTCGATCTGAACTCTAATATCACAAAGTAACCTATGAATAAATGAAAAACCTTCAAAATCACCATCTCGAAGTTCTGTATTGTATGTGTTCCAGATTCTCTGCACCTCAGGGCTAACAGAGCCACCAAGACCATTAATTTGTACAGGAGAAGAATTATGACTCAAACTGCCCCCTAAATTGTTCCACTTGCCTTCTTTGGCACTTAATGGTGTGCTGATGCTGCTTCCTTGTAGGTCAGCAACTGTCTTTTACCATGCAAGAAGCATCACAAGTTTAAGTTTCAGCATTTACCAATTCTTACAAGAGAATTATACATATACTGATTTCTAAATAGAAAAATAAAAAAGTCATGGCACAAGCACTCTCCACTTTGACAAGCCGATGTGAAGATTTCCTAAAGCCTCGTTACTCCAACGAGTACCTCTGTCTGATAGAAGTTATATTTACAAGAATTGTGAAAATGAGAAGTGCTCAAACCATTGTAAGAAAGCAACCGGATGAGCTATAATTAGTTCTTTAACAAGGGAGAAAATCAATCAGCCGATTGAATTGTTGCAGCGATCTTACCTCTTTTGCACCTGGAAAACCAGCCCCGAACGTCACATTTCTTTCTTTTTCCAATCGACTCAGCATACCCTCAATCCCAGACTCACCCTCGGCAACAATTTCTCTGTGAAAAAAAAGACCATATAGTTTATTCACCCTTACATTATATATATACTGATGGTTACACGAGGAAAAGTTAGCTAGAATAGGATCCTTGTTCATTCTGCAGTTAAGATGATTACCGAGATACCCAGATTTGTGTTATTTTGCTTCAATTCGTCAAACATGAAGAAAAGATCTTAAATTTTCCCAAGAGGAAATGACATTAGAGTTAATGACTCACTAGCAACCAAGTTAGATGATTCGGTTAATAAAACCGGGGGTACGGGGAGCCGGACAAGATACTATTTTTCACCGCCAGACACAATCTTTGTCATCGTAAACGTTCAGGTTCCTTTTCATTGACACGTTATAACACACCCCGAAGATTTCAGAGAATAAATTTCAAGTTAATAGGATTTTCACGCATGTTATTCGCAACTAGTTATGTTTAAAAGTAATTCCGGGTGAAGAATAAATAAATCAAGATGTATAATAGAATCCTCACAGTGATCTACCGGTGAATGAAGACGAGGCAGATGAAGAAGCAAGAGGAGAAGCAGCCGCCGCAAATCTTGGTCTTTCATCTCTCCTTGAATTATTGGATTCACCAAAGCTATCCCAATCAGTGGCCACAATAGAATACCGATCCTCGAAATCGTACTGTCCGACGCCCTCGTCTACTTCTTCGTCCAAATTCCATCCCAGACAAAGCCAACCACCTTTCTTCGCGATAGCATCCACTAAATCCTCCCTGCCAGCCTCAATCAGGTCTTTCTTGCTCGGAAACGCTTCTGGGTTTTTAGAACTTTTCATAAACTCCAATATCTTGGCCTCCAATGCGAAATCCCCTTCACTGTCCAAACCTTTACACCTCCTTACAACCCCGGAACAACCATAAAACATACCCTTGGAAGACAAAAGCACGCACCCCCTTTCTGTCGCAGCCGTATGATGCGAGTTCCAGCCGCATCTCGAATTAGAAACAAAAACGACGTTGGGAAATACGCAAGGGCTCAAACATCCGAACGGGGAGGGAAAGAAGAGAAAAGTGGGTAATGCGTTGGTGAAGACGAGCATGGCTCAGGCATTTCGTCGAACACCTAGAGCCCGAAGCGAAGAGATAATAAGGGCGCGAAAGAGCACGAGAGGGAAAAACACAGCTCTCCAAGCAGCAGAACAAAACCACTGGGAAATGCAACGCGCATTAATTAGCCGCAGCAATAGCCCAGTAACCTCGAATCTTGGGCGGGTAATTAGAGCATTTGTTTCTTTGTACATCAATTGGGTTCGCGAAAGATGGAGAAGAAACAAGAAAAGCAAGAAACAGGGTGGATTCAGAGATAATTGGATAAATCATGAGCATAGTTGTGGCTGTGGCTTTCACCGATGATGAGAAATACGCTATCAACATGGGAACGGAAGCGGCCCAATGTGACGAACGACTGACTCACGGTATCGCTCCCAACTACATTCAAATTTCACACACATTTTTAATTCAACTTTTGGTACTATGCTTCGAGTTTCGGATAATTTTGCCTTTCCTTTTCTTTCTTAGATGTGTTTATATAAGTCTAAGTTCAACATGCTTCACATTCATTGTACTTTAAAATATATAATTTAATATGATAGATTAGACAATTAACATTTTATTTGCTAAACTATTAGATCAGATCCACTGTAACATAGACTAAAAATATTATCACTCTATGACTCATATTTAAATTATTTTACAAGTACCAACATGATCATAGTTATCCACCTTATCTTTGGTTGTTGTAAAAAAATATATGTGTGTATATATATACACATATATATTACGAGAAAAATTTTAATGAACGGCATGAGTTTATTATAAATAAAAAACTAAAAATATGTGGGCCAAAGGGGTACAAGAGCAAAAAGATTATTCCTACATTTTAACAAAAAAAAAATTTGATTTAGGGTAAATTACTTTCATTCTGTGTTTTTTCTATTTATATTAAATTTGTCTCTTTCCTTATTAAGAACTTTATGTATGTACTCATGTAATTTCTCATAACCTTTTCAACTTTAATTTTCAGGTTGATCCGATGGGCTCATGTCTCTCCTCTTCGGGGAAAAACTAATACCAACTTCTCTAAATGATTTTTAAAAATCTTTTTATAAATATATTTTTGAAATTTATTTTCAACATTTGAAAAACAGGGGCATTTTTTACTGAGTTTTTTGGGTTTCCAAGATTTCTAAAAAAAGAACAAAATGGACAAAAATTGGACGAGGAGTTTGAGTCCAAAACTGAACTTTCCATCACCACGTTCCATCAATTCTCATGTGTTCTAGATTGGTGTGTACCATTTTTTAACTTGTTATTCCATAAAGCTAAACTGACGACCCAATATATTTATTGCAAGTACACAAATTTTTACCTCGCTCTATTGTAAATTTTAATCTTTAACATGTATTATTTATGATTTCAAATTATATTATCAAATAAATAGAGGTGTGGTTATGGGTTCAAATCTTAGAGGTGATCATTAGAATATGTGATAATGTTACACTATAACAACAATAACACTTAATTTTATATCTACTGGCAAATACTCAATTTTAAAATTACGTTGATCCTTTTATTGTTAGAGTTGTAAAGTGAATGCAACAAAATTCTATGTTGGCTAGGGAATAACATAATTCATGGTATATAAGAGAGGAAAATTATCTTTATTGATATGACGTTTTAAATGAAACCAAAATCAAAATCGTGGTAACTTTATTTTTCAATTTGTTAAAAATAAAATAAAGACAACAACTAAAATAATTATTTTTTAAACGTTGAATGACATGAGAATAGACATTTCAAAAATTACTGAAAATTCAACATCTAACAGATAGGAAAAGATCGTAGCTATATATGCGTGCTAGCGACGACTGAGCTCAAACAAGCAAAAAAAATGTATAAATTCTTAGATACTCTTCTGCTTTTATCAATCAATCAATAATAATTATTTATTTCAAAAAAATTAATTATTATTATTCCTCGTAATCTCCCGTTATTGTGCCGCACACGTGAAGGAGACGTGTATAATTATTGTTAATGTCAACAGATTAAAAAAAATAACAGACAAAGCTAATTTTTTTTCTATATATAAAAAGTTACGAGAAACAATTACCTAACTAAAATGTTATTTATTTTTCAATAAAATATATATTGAAGTTAAAAATTATTAATCCAGATAGTGAAATTCTTAAAATAATAAAAAGGTAAGTTCGCTATTTTATGGATATTTTGTTTTTAAATTAAGTTTGAGTATACAATTCACATGATTAGGTGAATGCAATTTCAAGATGCATTTCGTACATCTTCCTTTTATTTTTTTGAAACAATGAATTGCGTACATATAGCTCATGCAATTATTGGGCATAAAAACTTTGTCCATGAAATTTGAATTTTTGTGTTCTACAAGACATCCAAATTGTTTGCACTCTCGTAATTTTTTATTTAGGTCCAAGTGCAGAAGATAAATTGTTTACTGTTTCTATTTATCTGTTAATTTACCTCTATTATTCAAACTTAATATCATACATGACATATGTAAATCGTGTGAGATTACACAATTTTTTACTTTTAACTGCAAACTGTCCTTTATTGTCAAGACAAACTGGGGTTCCTCATAATGAGCCTTTGCTCTGTATCCGTCGGCACAGGCGGAATCAGGCCCTGCAGCATCCCCTTCGGCGTGGACCAATTCGATCCGACCACGGAGAAAGGGAAAAAAGGAATGGCCAGCTTCTACAACTGGTACTACGCCACATTCACCTTGGTTCTTATGATCACTTTTACAGTGGTGGTGTACATTCAAGACAAAATTAGCTGGGTTTGGGGGTACGCCATCCCCACCATCCTCATGCTCTGCGCCATCGTACTCTTCTTCGTCGGCACTCATATTTACGTGTTGATCAAGCCCGAGGGAAGCATATTCACAGCCCTCGCTCAAGTCGCCGCCGCAGCCTACAAGAAGCGCAACCTTAACCTCCCACCTACCGACCGCCACCGCGACGCCGACCGGACCGCTTTCTATGACCCTCCTTTGGACCCTGCAACCGTCGTCCTCTCCAAGCTTCCCCTCACCAATCAATTCAGGTCAATTCAAAATTACCCATTAATTTAATTATTAATCCAGTCCTCATTTGTACATCAATTTTAATTTTACAGGTTTCTGAACAAGGCAGCGATTGTTGCAGACAATGAGCTAAACCCAGACGGGAGCCGGGTGAACAAATGGAATCTCTGCACCATACAGCAAGTAGAAGAATTCAAATGCCTGATCAGAGTAACCCCAATTTGGTTAACGGGAATCCTGAGCATGACTCCAGTTCTAACGCAGTCCACATTCTCAATCTCCCAGGCTCTCCGAATGGACCGCCACATGGGCCCCGACTTCGTGGCTCCGGCGGGTTCCATCAGCGTCATTACGTACCTCACAATCGCACTCTGGATTCCCCTCTACGACCGACTCGTCGTCCCCGCCCTCAGAAAAATCACCGCCCACCCAAACGGCATAACAGAGCTTCAGAGAATGGGGATCGGCATTATCTTCGGAGTTCTGTCCATGGTGGTGGCAGGAATCGTGGAAATGGAGAGGAGAAATTGGGGTAAGAAATCGGTCTCCTTATCCGTCTTCTGGTTGGCTCCTCAATTCGTTCTGATGGGGCTGTTCGAGGCCTTCAATCTGGTGGGACAAATCGAATTCTTCAACAAGGAGTTTCCAGAGCACATGAGAACCATGGGAAATGCTCTGGCGTTTTGCTCCATCTCCTTCGCCAGCTACCTCACCACTGCCCTTGTCCAGATTGTGCACGACGCCACCGCCGGCGCCGATGGCAACTCCGATTGGTTGACCAATAATATCAACGCCGGAAAATTGGATTGCTTCTACTACACGGTAGCGGCAATTTCATTTTTCAACTTGTTCTGTTTTCTCTACTGCGCCAACCGTTACCACTACAAGGGCAGAGCATCAGAATCCGGAGATGGACAAATTTTGGAGATCGTAAGCTCTGGGAAGAAACTGGATGTGTGAGATTGATTATATATATTGATATTAATTAATTCTCTTGCGCTTGCGCCTCTTATACATACAAAATAAAATTTTGTTTCAGTCCTTGAGAGTTTGGAGATTACTATATTCTCAGATTATTATATATTAGGAGTATTAGATTAGTAATTAATTACCACATTAGGGAGAGCTAGATCCATTATTCTGAGTTGGAAATATGACGAGTTAATATTTTAACTTGTTTTCTCTTACCATATATTAATACTTGTTTAAGATACTTTTTGTTATATTATATAATTTCTCCTCCCACAAAGTTTTGCCCTCCTGCATTGTTTTTGCTCACAATCACATAACATTGGAAGGTTAATTATGATCTGATTAACTATAGTCAAATATTTATTGAAGAATAATTTAAGTGTGTTGTACAAAACACGCCAATAATCTCTACTTTTATCAAACAATTTTATTCAACATCCAAATAATCCACCAAAAAATGTTAAAACTAAATCAAGTAAAGAAAGAGAAGACGACGACACCAAAAATTTATGGTTCGATCAATTTGGTTCACATCCACTGTGTAAGTGAGAGTAAACTTATATTAGCTTCATTATCCAAGAATAATACATAAACGGAACGAGGGAGAATAACAAACCCAAGCTCTAAATAGAACAACCTATGAAAATAATGACAAAATACAAGAAGATTTTTCCACCCTCGACTGCTGCAGATAAAAAAAACGTGTAACAAAATTCTGGCTCTTTTTCTAAATCTCGGTAAGAAAAATAGTTCAAAATTAGGGTTGCAGACAATGTAATAGAGTAGTCATATAATTGAACTTAAATAAAAATTAATAATCCAACCTAACTTCTTTAATTTAATAATCGATGTGATAGGTTTGAGTCACAAAACAACAAGGTGGATATAAATATTTTAACATCAACTTAACGGCTTGTTAACCTCCCACCTCGACAATTGTTTGAACTCGATGAAACCCATTTTATTTTTGAATATGTACACTGTACACTAGATGAATCAGTATAGATTTTCTAAGAGCTAAAATAATAAAATAAAATATTGATGAAGAGTGAGAGAGTCAAAGACATAGGACAGATGATGGAAATTTGAAACAGGTTTGAATCGTTTGATGTGGACACCATATGATACTTTTTCTGCCTCTACACTAGTTTCCGTGTGAACTCTAATAAATATTAAAAAAAAAAACAACTAACTTTTCAAATGTTAATATAAATAAATGAATATTATTTTTATAGTTTTTAGGAAACCATCTAACTTTTCAGAAAAGTGAATGATAGAATTTTCAATAATATAGTATAATCATATTTTATTTATTGAAGCTCCAATTTGAGAAGATATATGAAATAGGGGATTGAATCTTTAACTTTTAGAAACGAATGTGACCAAATTATGTTAATGTTAAATATTAATTTAATATTTTCTATATGTATATATATTAAGTCCAATTTCACTCTTAATTTATTAAATTATTTATATTCTAACTGATCCAAAATCTCGATTTCAGATCAATGCAATGTTTTCTCAACACTCACAATCCCCCCCCATACTATTAATACAAATTTTAGACTCCAATTTTCATAAGATCAACCTTTCAGTTCACAATTATAAAACAAATACAAAGTAATACCCAACAGCTCTAAACAATAACAGGCTCCTCCCATGTTATTCTGTTGGATTCCAACCCGATCACAAGACGGTTCGACAAATACACGAAAACATTGTAYATTACSAAAGAAATATGCCAAACTTTTGCACAGAACAAATGAAAAGAACAAACTTTAGTACTTACTCTAATGCAATATTTCTTCATTAACAACTTTAAACATAATACCAAACACAGAACATRCAGTAAACAAAAAACTAAACAATGATACCTGAAAAAATTTGGCACTTCTCAGAGGAGATGGAGTTGGTGGTGGTTTTGAAGAGATATTGGAATTTCCATTGGAACCCTCTTTAGCCATTACTCCCAGATCTTCACTTCAACCCCTGGATCATTAACATCATCAAACGTCACTAATAAATTCAAGAAAAAAGAACCAAAAAACTTCAATTTAATGTAACAAAGAACACCAAGTCAGACTATTAACATTCTAAACCAAAAAAAAAAGCCAACCGTTCAAAGCAATTCCCCATCACTTTAAATTGTATGTGAATTTTACCCTTTTATCTTAAATATTGATATTAAGTGTGCTAGATTGGATCTAAATTAGAATTAAACTTCTTCTAATCTAATTATATTATAATTGATGGAGTTCAGATTTTAAAATAACTTGGAGTGGTGTAAAGGTCCCACGGATGTTTGTAATATCATATGTTCACAAAACATTATTATATGTGCAAAAAATTCGATAAAAGATAATGAATTGAATCTTAAAAAGTCAGCTGTAAAATGTCTTTTAACATTATATGTATAAATTTGAGTATCGTTCATAAAGTATATATATTTTAATATTTTCTCCCTCGTTGTTATTGTTTGCCACACACTTGAAACCATGCCAACATATCATCAAGTAGTTTGAATAAATATTTGTATTTATTTAATCGTTTTCATAATAACTTAACTTTAATAATAGCTTATAAGAATGACTCTCTTGACAAATAAATAAACAACCAATTCTTAAATAAAAGCATGGACCTCATGAGGTAATTTCACCTTTTTCAGGTTGTCCAGTATTTTATTACCATTGCTATTATTTTGCCTAGGCTTGAAAATGAAAGGAACCAAGAAAGAAGGTGGACTGGGTTGGGCCCTCATCTCAAAAAGTGGACCTGTGAATCTCGGCCTTCGGGCCCAGATCAAATCTGGGTCCATACAGTTGTCATTTCCGATGTTGCTTTTTTTTTTCTTTCCTTTTTAAGTACAAAATATTGTTGCTTTTTCCAAAATATGTGATCAGGATTCGAACTTACTACTTTTTGATTGGAGATATGTACTTTAATGAATTGAAATATGTTTAGATTTGTCATCTCTGATGTTCATTGTTCAACAAATCAATGGAAGTAGCGTGTAGTATTTGATTGGATATTTTTCATTGATTCGATTTTTCTCTCAATTTCATATTAGGTATATTGGTTATACAACGGTTATATCGTTTTCGGAGTTAATCTTAGTAAATAACATCGAAACATTTCTGATTCAGTTTTAGAAAATTTCTACTATACAAGATGAACGGAATAAATTCCTATTTGGATTGTAAAGTCGGCCATAATGTTTGGATTTGGAAGGTTTTGAGAATTATGGGGCGGTGGAACTGGAGCCCGGAGGTACGGGAACGTTGAAATTGGAATGCCCAATCAGTAGTGGTGAGGGGCCGAGGCCGACAATGACATGAAATGAAAGGCATTGCTTTGGTATTATTAATTTTGTTATGTTATGCTCTTCTTATTATTCGCCCTACCCATCTGCCCTTTTCGACGCTTCCGAGTCAAATTACCCTACTCGGCACTTACCACTTGCATTCACACTCACAACGATAACAATATAGTTCAACGATCTACTTTTTCAGATCTCAACTCTTAATCTAGTGTTCAATCTTTTAAGATTTTCAATTTATCGATAATTTGTTTGTAAATCATTAAATTATTGTTTTAGTAACATCTGAACATGTTTTTTTAGCACAATAACATGGAATAAAGATTCAAACTCAAAATTCGGAGATATATGTTTTAATTGTTGAGTTATATTCAAATTGCATGTAATCAAATTACTGAAATGTTATTTGACACTTCTACTAGCAAAATCTAACATGTCAATTAACATGTCAACAAAATAATAATTTAATGATACGTTGTTTTATGATAACAAATTTTAACAATTTTTTTTTTAACTAAATGATATAATTGGAAATTATTGAGATTATCAAAAGATTAGCAACTAAAATGAGAAATATCACAAATATTATAATTTATAAACTATATATCGTAAAACAAAACGTCGTCTTTTCTGTTATTTTTTATTCATTTTTTTGGGGATTATTATCGGATTCATCCCACCCACGTGATTCAATGAAATGCCGTTACATTCTCTTAAAAAGAAAGGTTCCTTTTGCATAAAGTTTCGGTTAGATGAAGAAAATTTGCTTTTAAATTATAAAATGATTGATAGCTAATGGTTTGGCCACCAAATACATCTTCTAGGTTACATGTTTCAAAATTCCATATTAAAAAATGTTGTATTTGAATATATAAATAATTAAATGGTTGAAATTATAAGTTTAGTGTCTGAATCTTTATAATTTATCTATTTAACTGTTGAAGCGCTAACCATTCAAGAGGCTCATGATTGCAGCAGAAATTGGTAATCAAAGTTTGTTTATAGAATCAAATGCAATGAAGATTATTACATTATTGAGAAGAAATTCGAAGAATCTAACGAATTGGAAATAGTATTTGTTGAAGTAAAACTACTAATGTATGTGATTAATATAAAAACTTCATGTTCACTTGATGAAATCAGATAGCTCATAGACTTACAATTCCCACGCGAGAGCAATGCTAATATGGCATGTTGACGCTATTATTTCACATCACATAATCAATGATTAAACTTCAAATTGAAATTTAAATGACTTTGTTTATAAATTATAAGATCAAGATTATAATTTTACCTAAATTAAATAGACTTTTCAAGATTGTTCTTGATAGTGTGAAATCTTATTCACACTTTTTTTTCAAAAAAATAAGATTTAAAGTGAAAGTTTGTAAATCTAATCCCTTTTTAGTCACCAAATCCCATTTGAAAATGAAATCAAATGAAATCCAACTCCTTTCTAAAATTAAGCCAGATATACATAACTTTGTATTATAAAAGAAGTATTTTAATTCATGATTTTCTGTAAAGAAAAAAAAAAAGTGGCCTACTTCTAACTTTTTAGAAGTGCTCTAATTTTTACTTTTTTAAGTAGAGAAACAAAAAAAGGGACATAAATCCAAAAGCATGCACATTAAGAAACAAACAATAGTTGATGACTGTTGAGCATCATCAAACAATTTCCTCTTCAGCCATGAAAAGATAACCTTTCTTCCACAAATGCTTGGTTCCCATGTTAATTCTCTCTCTGCAGCTTTATTTCCTTATCTGCAAATAAAATACACTAAATAAATCTCATTTCTTCTTTTAATATGTCTAATGATCAAGGAAAACGTGCTCTAATAACTTAACACAGAAGAAAATCTTTGGTCATACATATATATTATGTCTCTTGCTCTCGCACCGGGCCGGTGTGAGTAACTCCATTCGAGTGAGAGGAAGTAAAACCATAGACTAGATCTTATATCGATGCGGTACTTGGTTCTGTACATTTTAAAATTAGCTTAAGGTAAAGCTTAGTCCGAATTAGTAACGAGTTGAGCTTTTAGAATGTGGGACTCCGCCTCTTATATAAAGGAAGAATTGAGAACTGTACGATTATACACATGTCATTCAGTGAATTTTTTACCGATAATTCAAAGATCATTTCATCAAATGTCATCAAATTTTTCGTCAAGTCAAAATTGTCCCTCGATCTATAGTTGGACTTAGCTCTTCTTTTAAGGCACGTGGGCCCTTTCTTCTCGTCCTCGATCAGCGTGTCTTGATAAAGGGGTCACATATTTGTACTTAACATTATCCCTGGCATCATCAACAATCAAATTAATCTCATATATTGACTTTTACATGGCCCAAAGTATTTTAGATAGAATATTGTTATAGGCAATTTGATAGCAATGAATGTACTATAGAACAATTTTTTTTCCTAGAGATGTATAAAGCTTACTATACGAGTGCCATAATGGGCATAACCAAATGAGTGACGTACACGACTTCAAAAATATATACACAAAAAACCACCCAACTTCAGCCTAAAGACAACCATGCTTTAGCCCTCTCATCCCAATTCATTATAATTTAACATGCGTGTGAACAACAAACTATACACGTGTAAAAACAATATTTATTAATGTATAATGATCAAGTTAATCAAACTAAAATCATAACAACATTTGTAACTTTTCAGAAAATCAACACGATGTTGACTAAAGTTTGTTTTTCGTCCTACTACATCACTTGGTAAAAGTTAATTACCATTATCAAGAGTATTTTGATGGGTGATCGCACTTTAATGATTTTTTATTAAAAAAAATAAATAAATCGGAGGATCCTGGGAAATTGGGCCAATTAATATAGGAAAGCACCATTATTGCATGATTTATTTAAACTATTAAATCCATTAGCTAGACTGGAGTAGGCAAAAATTATTTCGTTAACTAATATATTGTTGGCAGAATTTGAATATTTGATATGCGGTGCAGTCCGACACCTACTGTGTTTAATTGAATAAAAAGCAAATTTATATTAATGGTTGGAGTTTGAACTCATATTTTCCATTATAATCTAATATCATATCAAATTATCTTTAAAGTTTAAAGTCAAAATCTTAATGTTAATCAGACGCATGAAAAGATCCATTAATAAGAAGGGCATAGAAAAGAACAAAAACATTAGGAAAAGGTATATTAAAGTGACAAAAACTTAAACTAATCTTGATGTTAATTAATGTCCTAGTTTTTATTGGTGGATATTCGATTTGATGGGTGGAATTTAATAAAAAGACGTTGCTTTATTTTAAACTGTTAAATTGGACGTGATTGATGGACGGAAAGATTCACGTTGGGGAGATTCGATTTAATTATGGATACATGAGACAATGGTCTTTATATTATTATTATTATTATTATTTTGAAAAAAATGGGAGAGAAAATATGAACGCGTGGCGTGGGAGTCTGGAAATGGAACACGTTGGAAAAAGAGCTTCAACTTCAGCGGTGAGGCATTCGTCGACGGCTCAAAGACTGGGATCGGAAGTTGCCTAAACGCGTCAAAAAACAAGCAAACAAAAACACATCAAAGTGGAGGCCCGACGGAGAGTTTGGGCTTCGCTTCTCTTTCTTTCGAGTCGTAAGAAGCAGAGTTATTTTGCAACTTTCACTCCGTTTTGTCTTTTTCATCTCTCTTACTCTGGTCCACTCTGCGTTATGCTTATGCATCTCCATTTCCTGTGAACCTCATCTTTTCCACTGTTGCTTTGGTCTGATGCATTAATTAAAAAAATGTTACCATATTATTGTATTGTATTACTATAGCAGTAGGAGCTACTGCTACAGTACACGCATTATTATTCCTATTCCTCATCTCACCCCAAACACACCACAGCCTCACACGCCCTATAAAGTAAAGTGATAGCCAGAGCCAGAGACATAGAAAATGGAGACTGAGGGTAAGGCTCAGGCTCACACCAAAGCTTCAAGCTCCCCCCCCAGCGCCTTACATTGCTCCACTACTCGATGCTCCACAAATGGCGTTCACACCAAATCTAATGCTAAAACTCCAAGAAAGCCCGGCGGATGGAAGTCCATGCCCTATATCCTTGGTCTCTTATTTCATCTCTCTTTAATTTCTCCATAGTTGTATAATAGTTGGTTTTCTCTGACAGTACTGAGCGTTTTGGGGATTGGCAGGAAATGAGACGTTCGAGAGGCTGGCTTCGCTGGGGCTACTGGCCAACTTCATGGTGTATCTCAGAAAAGTGTATCACATGGATCAAGTTTCTGCCACCAGCTTGATGGGCATATGGACCGGCGTTACCAATTTTTCGCCTCTAATTGGCGCCTTTCTCTCCGATGCTTATGTGGGTCGCTACTGGACAATCGCCGTTGCTTCCATTTTCTCTTTTCTCGTAATCTCCCTCTCTATGTCTCTTATCCAGCTGTGTCCATCGCCTGTGTGTTAACTTTTCTTTTACCCTTTGGGGTTTTGTTGAAGATTTGGTTGCCAATATTTTATTTCATCTTTTTTCTCCCCTAAATCATTGAGGGTGGTTGGTGAACGGTGAACAACTCAACTCACTGAATTGACTGACCGTGATGGCAGGGGATGGTTTCGATGACATTAACGGCGTGGTTGCCGGCGCTACATCCGGCAGCATGCGACGGCGGAGGGAAATGCGAGGGCCCGACGTCGTCGCAAATGGGGTTCCTAATAATGACGCTTTCCTTACTAGTCATCGGCACCGCCGGAATCAGACCGTGCAGTATCCCGTTCGGCGTGGATCAATTCGATCCCACAACCGACAAGGGAAGAAAGGGAATATCCAGCTTCTACAACTGGTACTACGCCTCTTTCACCGTCGTTCTCATCTTCGCCTTAACGGTGGTGGTGTTCATTCAAGACTCCGTCAGCTGGGTTTTGGGGTTCGGCATCCCCACAATCCTCATGTTCTGCTCCATCATTCTGTTCTTCTTGGGGACTCGCGTTTACGTCCTGATCAAGCCGGAGGGGAGCATTTTCACAGGCCTCGCCCAAGTCGCCGCCGCAGCCTACAAGAAGCGCCACCTTAAACTCCCCGATTCTCTTCAACCTACCGACAGGACCGCTTACTACGACCCTCCTGGAACCGCCCTCCACTCCAAGCTCCCTCTCACAACCCAATTCAGGTCCTAATCAAAACAACCCATCTCTCCGACTCCTCTTTTAAACCCGCAATTGCAATGGATCTCATTAATTTCCACAATTTCTGCAGGTTTCTGAACAAGGCAGCCATAATTCTGGAGAAGGAGCTGAACCCAGACGGAAGTCCGGTAAACAAATGGAGACTCTGCACAATACAGCAAGTCGAAGAATTCAAATGCTTGGTCAGAGTTTCCCCAATTTGGGTAGCCGGGATTCTGACCCTGACCCCTCTTCTCCAGCAAGCCACATTCAGCGTTTCCCAGGCTCTCCAAATGGACCGTCACATCGGCCCCAAATTCCAGATTCCACCCGGTTCAATCATCGTCATGTCGTTCATCGCAATCGTGGTCTGGATTCCCATCTACGACCGGCTCCTCGTCCCGGCCCTCAGAAAACTCACCAACCAAGAAAGCGGCATCACGCCGCTTCAACGAATTGGGGTCGGCATTATCATCGGCGTTGGGTCGATGATCGTGGCGGGATTGGTGGAGATGAAGAGAAGAAATTGGGCTGAAAAATCGGTTCAAATGTCGGTGTTTTGGCTGCTTCCTCAGTTCGTTCTGCTGGGCCTGTGCGAGGCGTTCAACATAATCGGACAAATCGAATTCTTCAACAAGGAATTTCCGGAGAGTATGAGGACCATGGGGAACGCGCTCTCCTCTTGCTCCCTCGCCTTGACCAGCTACATCAACACTGCCATGGTTCTAATTGTGCACAAAACCACCGGCAAGCCCGATTGGTTGACCGACGATCTCAACGTCGGCAGATTGGATTACTTCTACTACGTTGTGGCGGCTACCGCGTTCTTCAACTTTTTCTTTTTTCTTTACTGCGCCAAGCGTTACCAGTACAAGGGCAGCACATTTGAAACCCATGATGATGCTCAGAAGCCGCCGCCATGTGAGCAATTGGAGCTCATTACCTCTGCCAAAAAGCTGGATGTATGATTCGTTTACTCATAAATCGTCCTACTTTTGGGTTTAGCATAGCTTAATTAGTTACTCCTTTGTTTTTTCTTTTTTTTTCCCTCGGGTCCAAGTTCCAACATTAAGCTTTCCGCATATGTATAAAATAAGATTTGTATCACTAGAGAGATTATAAACTATAGAGATTAATATTAAGAGTATAAGGGTAATAGTAGATGTTTGATCTAAAAATTGATCAAGTTCGAAATCTGGCTCAAAATAGAGTAGTTAACATCCGAGGTACTTGCAAGATAAAATTAGCACTCTGATGAACAAGTGAGTCTCAGATCTATTACTCAATATGATAATAGTTTCGTGTACCTTATATAGGACTCCTGACAACACTCTAACAACTCTCCAACAGTTCAGAAAATGCGACGTGTTGTCAGAGAACGACTTTGTTGCCTTTGCACCTACAAATGTTCTTTTCGGTTACTCGACTGGATCAAGTAATGTCGAGATAGTGAGACTTGCATCAACCTACAGGTTCTTCATTGGATAATTTCTTTAGATGTTGTTGATACATGGCTGACAGACAACAAATGACCTCTAATATTAAAGGTGGAGATTTAAACCTCGGAATTTAAACAAGTAATGTCATGACCAACATTAGACTAGCTGAAGCAATAAATTGTTAAAATTGAAGTATAAGTATATTATGAATCTGATGACCAAGAAGAAATAGATTTGTACCCACCATATTAAATCACATTAAAAGGGCGAGCAGCTCCAAGTGTGAAGTAAATGCGTGATGAATTGATTAGTCACGTTGAATAACTTCCACTTCCAGTGCTTCGTTCATATTGATAGCTGATCAAAATATATAATAATCGAGGGACTTTTTGAATAATTTTATCTCCGACAAGCTTTAGCATAGTACATGTGTTTTTTTTTTCTCGACACGCACGCCGTTTGAAAGCTACAAATGAGCACCTATTTACGGCACCTCTTTTCTGAAAGTTACTCCATTGTAGTAAAAGTATTTTGGTGATGCTTTTGTACATTATGTAAGACTCATAATTACAAACGACATAGTTTTTTTTCTCTCTCTCTCATGATTCTAACAAGTTAAAAATAAAATAGATCTTACAAGGATAAATAATAAATATGGATCACTTCTTTCATTGTCAATTCGTAGCTTTGCTCTTTTTTTTAGTTTAACATGTATGGGCGGGAGATCGAACTTACAACCTCTTGGTTGGAAATATATGTCAATTACCAATGAGTTATGCTTGATTTTGGCAGTCAATTGCTCATACTGATATAATTACACGTACATAATTAATCGGTCAATTTTGACATGTTTTTAATAAATTATATTCTGACCATTAGATATTGGAGTTTGATAGATTATAATGTGGTCTATAATGCATCATAGAAAGGTATATACACTTCAACTTTAAAATGTGATAGAAAGTTAAAACACTTTTCTTTTCTTTACAAGAATTTCAAATGTGAATGCTACTAAGTTTTCAAAAAGAAATGGCAAAATCAATCTTTAATTTGTCTTTCAATTTTCTTTTACAACGGCATCATAGAATTTGAAACTAAATTATTTATTGATTAGTTTGACGTTTTTTAAAATATAAAAGTAAAGTTATTGAAATTACGTGAACATTATGACATAAAAATGAAATCTATGGTTAAGGACATACGTGGAATATGACTTTACAGAAAGTGACATTGACATAGAATTTAACTTTTTACCCAGGAAAAATTAAGTTGTTTATTATTGAGTACTTCATTGACTTGGTTTTCATGTTTTAAAGAAGGCTAAATTTTAACAACAAATAAAATGCATTTTATAAACTACATTTTTCAGTTTTTAATTTTCTTAAAATTTTTAAAACTTTTGTTAGAAAGTGAATTATAAACTACAGAACATTGAAAAGTGTTTCTCAAAACAATAATTTATAAAATAAAACTGACTATCAAAGGTTAACTAGTTAAAAAAATATTATATTTCAAATCACGGTTATTTTTGTTTTCAAATTTTTTAATTAAAACTTCACATGCAAATAGTCCCGTGATTAGATTCCCGTGTTGAGATTTCAGGAGATGTCGGACATCTACATTTCAAAAAAAACAAACGGACTCCTAAGATTTTAAACATTGATCCCACGATTTGATAAAAAATGTTATGGAAATATTGAGGATTATATTTCTAAAAATATTAAAAATAAAAACTATTTAAATTAACAAATAAGTATTTTATAATTTTAAAACAAGGTTAAATTTTTTGTTATTAATATTATTTTTATGGAAATGATATTTTATTAAATTTTTTTACGATACAATCGAAACAATTATTCTTTTTTTTTTTGTTAACGTAAAACTCATGAATATATGAAAATGTCAATAAAAATAGAAATGGTAGTATGTTGATGAAAATTTAATTTATTGATAATAAATATTATTTTAGTATGAGATTTTGATATAATGATAAGGTTACGTGTGTATGTATGTACGTACCCGTAGGAAATATATAAAATTGTTGGGATATGAGGCTCAAAGAAAACAAACAAGTCAAAATAATAATGCTATAATTTAACTAATATAAGATGAAGAGAAAGACACATAATTTATTGTTTTTTAATTGTTGAGAGAAAGTTAAGTTGAAATTGGAGTTTGACTGAATTAGGTAATCTACCCAGCGATTTCTCCATGTGGGTGTGATAGTTCAGTAAAGCGCATTAATGGTGCAAATTTAATTTTCTTATTTATTTATTATATAGTTTAGATCGACAATTGTTTTATTTTCAACATTTCAATTATTAAATTTGTCAATTTTATTTTTCCCCCATTTGAAAGTATCTCTATTTTCCCTTCAGAATCTTTAGAATTGCTACTGATTGGCTAACTTTTAATTTGTCTTTGACCATCAAATAAATTTTGAATAACTCGTTTTCCTCCCTTTAAAACAATGGACGACACTTATGATTTTATCGCTACTTGAAATAATTTAATCTTCTCTATTATAGAGTTTGATAATTAAATTTTTTTTTAAATGATCATATTTTTAAAATCATAGTCTTATTGAAATTATATTTATAAATATGGTAATGTATCTATGAGCCTTTCTTTTAAGTTTTTTTTTTTAACACCCTATTAAACGCGGTCAACCTCATCATAAAAGAAAATTCATAATTTGTTTCGAATTGATAGTATAAGATATGATAAGCATTAGGGTGTGAAACCATAATTTTAAACAAATAATAATCCAAATTTTNGAAGACGGGAGAAGCCCGTGTGAACCAAACTATGACTTTGGAGGTGTTTCTTGTCTTCATTTGACCTTTCTTTCAAAACGACAAGTACATATACAGAAAACGACAGAAAACATTACTTGTAGTTGGTCCAACTCCAAACACTATAAGGTGGCACGGTATTAAATATTTCCTTACATATTTTTATGCAAAAATAAATTGACATTTTTATATACTGTAAATATGATAAAATATCACTAAAATAAACATAATATGAATATTAATTATTTTAAATTTATTTATAAAGATCGAAAGGTTTAATGGTTGATTTAAATATTTTTTTATGAATTTTTTAATTTTATAATTTTCGTCTGATATTTATATGCTATTGATATTTTCATCAATATTTTTATAATATTGAGAAATCGATATTTTCATCTTTTAGCACCCGATATGTGGATACCACTCCTTTGTTCTTTAATTATTATTATTATTAAAAAAATATTGTTTATTTGTTATTATATATTTTTAATAAGTATGGAAATGGGGACGCAAACAAGCAGCATCTGTGAATTGATATGATATCATCTCATGCTAATGCTAATAAGCGAAGTTTTTACGCAACTCGAAATTATTGATTCATATGGTCAAATTGAAATACTTGCGTAATTGACTGAAAATATATAACATACTGCTTAAATTAGGAATTTGGTCCCTGTCATGTACATACAATTTCTAATTTTAATTTTGTTTTATGGAAATAAAAATTTAAATTTAGTTATTAGTCATATCTTACGGATCATATGTGTTAAGAGTTTTATTTTTCAAAATTTTTAAATTCAACAAATATATTATATGGTGGAGAATTCGAACTTCTATTGTCTAATATTTAGAACAAATTTCTAATTACCTTAATTTTTTTTTTCAAAAAGAAAAAGTTATATTAAAGTTCGTAAAAGTACTAGAGTCTAGGACTAAATAAAATATAATAAAATACCAATAGATTTTTTTAGTAAAAAGTGGTTTGGAAATAATTTACAAGGTTCCATAAAATTCAAATTAAAATTTTTAAAGTCGACTAACTTTTAAAAACAAGGAACTGAATTAAAACTCAAAACTACCATAGGAATGAAATTTGTAATTTAGCCTAAATTATTTTTTAAAAACTATTATTATTATAAATCAAATCAGTGGCTATTTCCTAAAATTTAGGTAGTCCGTGTCAATTGCATAATACTAATGCTTCATTATATCTTGAAAATTACTTCATTCACATGTAGGAGGCCGGCTAATTTAACATATAGAGCTAACTTTTATAATAACATAAGTTCCAAGATTTAATTTTCACAATTGAAAAATTCAATCTTGTGCTTATTTATTTGTCTCGTGCAAATTTGAAAAACAGCTCTAAAAAATTTTTTTTTTTTTTTATTACTACAGGACACAGAGGGTTCGAATCTAGATATTGGGTATCAACACCAAAGTCTCTTGCCACTGGACTAACCCCAAAGGTGATTTTAATGAAATATTACTAAGAATATTCTTGAAATAGTGGCTCCTATAACACCACCAAAGTTCATATATCATACCAACTTTCTTAGATCCTTAATTTTTTTTAATGTACGATCCTTAACATGTAGTGGCTCTTTTAAGTTCACTATTATTTGTCATATTTCATTTTTTTTTTATAAAATGCTCGTATGAATACATAAATATTGATATAATTTTATCTCAAAATTAATAAATAATGAACCGTGATGCATCATCAAGGTCCGTGTATAAATCCTTAAAAGTTGCCGGCTGGGAGCAGCAGCCAGCAGGGCTTCAATTTTTCTTTCAAATTGAACTTTCGGTTTCGGTGTGCAGCAGGCGGTGTTAGGCGAGAACAGACGATGAGAGCGACAATTTTCAACGATAATAATCGGCAACAATAGAGGAAAAGTTGAAGAACTGAAGAACACGTGTAGCAATAGCACTGGCGTAGAGTTTTTATATTTATGTATTAGTGGGCTTGGGCTAAGAAAACAAATGGGCTTAAAACGTGGATTTAGCCAGGTTTGGGTGTCTGTATATAGATATTTTTTGGGGTAGGGATGACACCCCACTGTCGAGATTTTAAAGATGACGTGGATAGAAATTTCAATTTTTTTTTATTTTGTCAAAATCTAGATATAAGTATCGTTAAAAGATCCATGTCGGTGAATTATTTTGAAAATTTTATAAAAATAAAAACTATAAAAAATTTATTTAAATTAATAAATAAGTATTTTACCCCTTTAAAATAAGTTTAAACTTGTTGTTGGTAATATTATGTGTATATTAATGATATTTTGTTGATATTTTCTAATACTTCATCAATTTTTATACGATACCATAGAAATATCGATTCACCTTTTATATCAATGTCTATTAGGAAGAGTATATTGTAATATTATTCTAGTTAGTTAGAGTAGTTATATTATTGTACAGTTTTTTCTCTTTGTACAAACTTACGGTATATACATGGGCTTGTGTATAGATCTTGCTCTTCTTCTCTAAAATCTTGACGTAAACTTAACCCATTGTCAATCTCAGACTCCATGCGCGCACTCTCTTCCTCAAATTTATTAGCTATCAATTGATGATTGAACATATAGACCATCACAAATGAGAAATCAGAGACATAAAAAAGCACAGGTAGAAAGGGTTGGCACTACGAGCTGTGAAAGGGCTGGCAGGACGTTGATGTGCTAAGTTATAATGGGAGAGAAAAGAAACCATGGTTGCGGTTGAGAGAAGAGAAAGAAAGATAGGAAAATATATGGCTCTGGCAAAGAGAAGAGAAATAGAGAAGAAAATTTTTCTTGAGATTCGAACTATGTTTTCTTGAGAGATAAGTATAAAAAAAATCGTAACACTACTGGAAGTAACTAATTTAGGGAACAAAATAGACTAATGTTTTTTTTTCTATTTTGGATAAAGGATTTAATTTCTAAAGTAAATATAATATTAATTAAATCAGGTGGATAACAATTGTTTTTTTTTTCTTATAGAAAATAGTCTATTTTATTTTCAGTATAATAATCTTTTAATAAAAAATATATATCTTAACCAATTAAATTAAGTTGGAATA